GTAAAAATAAGACCATTTATAGGGGCATTCACTATAAACATCATGTATTTTCAACCTTAGGCATACACGACTTTCAGGCGAAAGTGAATCTAGCAGCTTGTGTGAAATGCGCTAGTCTGTACTACTGTCCTCTCATCCTGCACCAGTACAAATACTTGCATGCGTTGCGTGTGTTTTGCTTGCTTCATGAGTGTTTCTGCATTATATGAGTGGCTTTGGAATATAAACTGCAGCACGTTTCAGATGAAAAAACGCGACTTTATTTCTGAAAATATCAGGAGATTTATAACGAGTGATTCCCTGCATTATTACAGCAAAGCGCGTGATTACAGTACTAAGCCGAATTTAGGTTTGACTATCTATTTGATAAATTAAGTTAACCAAGTAACATGCATACCCTTTTGGTTTCTATACCCAATATTTAAAAAATGTACAAATGCAATAAAAATATCGGTATCGGTACTCGGTATCGGCAAGTACCAAAAATAAAAGTATCGGTATCGGGCGAGTACTGGAAAAAGTGGTATCGGTGCATCCCTACTGAAAATCCATATGCAATTTACTTATTGAAGCATAAACATGTTGCTTTTAAAATTTGATAACCTTGTGAGAAACTGACGGATATTCAAGTCATTAAATTAGTTCACAGAAACCTTTAAATGGGTCATGAATAGTGCTGGGCGGTATACCGGTTCGTACCGAATACTGGTGTTTATTTTTCTAATGATATTAATTTTTAAAATACCGCAATACCGGTGTATGTCGTTTAAACAACTTTCATAACGCGACACTGTTTGAAAGGGGTCCCTTTTCACTGTTGCACTGTGGTGAGGGAACAGCTGTATGTGTTACTAAGCGTGAAAGTTCAGAAACTGAAGCTGTAGAACTAATAGAACTTGATGACAACGAAGAACTCATCCACAATATCCACATCGACTGCCACAAATATCCACCGCCCCCTGCCATCAGCTCCCACGTCTCTCACACACGAGCGTGTCTTTAGCACTAGATTTAGCAACTTTCAGACCCTTTTAACGGCTTTTTCCATAGAATATACATACTGACATACCTAGCGACTTTTTCTGGATAAACCTTAGCTATCGTTCAGTTGGAAGATGTTGCCAGTACTGCCCCGCGAGCGCAAGGTCTAACTCCCAGCGCAGTATCGTCTCTCTCGGCGTCTGTTCTGTGCAGTGCAGTTCAGAGAAGCAGTGCATTCAGCTGGCAGCGGCCTGTCAGTAAATGAGTACAAAACAGCGTTTCCAAGCACTGTTTGGAATTATAAATATGAGCCTAGTTCATCTGTTAATATTATGCACTTTTTTTGTTTGTTGTTTTTTTTAGTTTGTTACTCAGACGCAAACATGTTTGTTACATGCAGTGCGCTAATATAGCCAAAACCACCACATAGCCCCTCTTTACCACCACATAATCCCTGCCGGTACGAGACTCAAACCCGCAACCTTATGGTTAGAGAGTCGGACTTGTAACCCAAAGGTTGCGGGTTTGAGTCTCGTACCGGCAGGGATTGTAGGTGGGGGGAGTGAATGTACAGCGCTCTCTCCCACCTTCAATACCACGACTGAGGTGCCCTTGAGCAAGGCACCGAACCCCCAACTGCTCCCCGGGCGCCGCAGCAAAAAAATGTCTGCCCACTGCTCCGGGTGTGTGTTCACGGTGTGTGTGTGTGTTCACTGCTGTGTGTGTGCACTTTGGATGGGTTAAATGCAGAGCACTAATTCCAAGTATGGGTCACCATACTTGGCCACATGTCACTTCACTTACTCACTTACACTTACTTTAGTGTATGCATGTTGATTTTATCAGACTATGTCGCGATTATGAATGAGTGACTCTTAGTTAACATGTATTAAAAGGGGTCGTGTTTAGTCACTATTTAGTGTGGAATTTTTCCACAATGTTCACTCATGACAGTAAAAAGGCATTCTAAGTCAATCTACTGCAGTTTTTCCTCTCTCAATCAGTAGAGGTTAACACCCGGTCATGCATAGAAAAAAATAAATACCATCTTATATATAGTGGAACCGGTATAATTTTGAAAAATACCATGATATAAACTTTTAATCATACCGCCCAGCACCTGTCATGGACTGCCTTTTGTTTTTTTTTTTGCTGTTCTCGGAAGTGCATTATGTTATCAAGATATTTACATCAATAAACATAATTTAGAAGTAATAGGCTAAATTACTTCTAAATAGGCTAAATTACCCCCCCCCCCATCAGAACGCTCTGTTGGAATAGGTGTGGTGGATTGTAGACTCGGAAGTAAACGCCCACTGCTATGATTGGCTAATAGTTGTGAATGTTTGATAGCCTACGTCCTTTGCAGATGGACGCTGCTGTGATTTTTGGTTAAAAATGCATAAATACTCATATCAAACGATCTGTAATAAGACAAAGCAATAGGGATCACTTAATAAAAGCAGTTACTCTCACTTGTGTGTTGCGACATTACTGTCAAATCCAATATCGCCACACAGCATTGTCTTTGTTTCAATCTTTCTGAAAATCCCTCATCAAATTGTGCCTTGTTTGTAAACTAATCCACGGTAAATGAAGTGAACAAAGGACCGAGTTCTTACTGACGCGGTCTGGTACGTCATTAAAATTAAGCTTCATCCACCCTTTCCTAATGTTAGGATCAGAAGGAAGGCAATATAAAGACTGTTTTTCCACAGCATGGCAATGCACTGTCTTGTCTTCAGAGCATTTTTATTGTTTGGTTTCCGAGTAGACCTGCGGTTGCCTCTTTCGTTATTTACGTGTGTTATGGATGGGCGGGGCTTAACAGGCAGTGATGTAGAATCGATGGGCGGGGCTAAAGAGGCAGTGCTGTAGAATGGGAGGGCGGGGCTTAACAGGCAGTGATGTAGAATGGGTGGGCGGGGGTAAACAGGCAGTGATGTAGAAGCAGGCGTTGATCTTCCTCTGCGGAGGCGGTGTGTTTATCCACACTATTACATCGAGTAGAACATTCCACAAGCTGTTGTTTTGTCAGACTGGCTTCAATATAAACTGTTTTCAGACTAACAAGAAAGTTGAGTTCTGAAACTTAAAGGATGTTTTTATAGAACAATGGCCTTATGTCAAAAGATCAGGAGGATTTTGGTTTCTCAATTCATGACCCTTTTAAGAATGTTCACATACTTGTAACAGATTTAATCAAATGTAGCAGTAAGAGGTTTATACTTTGACATTTTTCCACTGTAATGTGTATCTTTGTAGGGTTGAGAATCAGTTTAAAAAGTATAAATTTAACTGCTTTAGGCTACTACTGTATGTAATGCAGTACATATAGTTTGGTACTGATTTTCCAATAGTTTGGTACCGGTTGTCTCCTGTAACCAATTATGTGAAACTGATTTCATGTTTATTCAGTTATTTTTGTTGAAACCCAGTTTTGCATCAATTTTATACACGTAAAATGTAAATGGGTTGTAAAGAACTTAATGTTGACATCAACTTCGATGTTCATATCCTCAGCAAACAGATACATTTTATGGCGCTTTGTTTGCAATTACAGGGAATGAACGCACGATGGTCTTTGTTGAAACCAAAAGAAGTGCTGATTTCATTGCAACATTTCTCTGTCAGGAGAAGCTCTCTACTACAAGCATCCATGGGTATTTTTTTTTCCTGTCCCTTTCTCTCCAATAACGTGTTCATGCTGATATAATGTGTTGAATAAAACAAGGCAGTTATAGATGCATGTTATTACAGATCCTCTCTGACCAAAGCTTTTAATTGAATTTTATTTATTTTCCGAATAGTGATCGGGAGCAGCGAGAGCGAGAGAAGGCTCTCAGTGATTTTCGCACAGGCCAGTGTCCGGTGCTGGTGGCCACGTCTGTCGCTGCCAGAGGCCTGGACATTGAACAGGTCCAGCACGTTGTGAATTTCGACCTGCCCAGCAGCATCGATGAATACGTCCATCGCATCGGAAGAACCGGACGGTGTGGAAACATCGGTCGGGCCGTGTCCTTTTTTAACCCAGAGTCTGACACTCCATTAGCTCGCTCTCTGGTCAAAGTTCTGTCTGGGGTTTGTGCTTTTCATATCGCATCCAAGATACTTAGCAGTGTTTTCTGCTAAACACTCTTTAGTTGTGAAATGTTCATATTGTGCCTATAAAATTACTTTATATGAACAACAGATTTAAATTAGGCTCTAATCCACATAATTATTGATCATTGCTAAAGCAGCACATCAAATATGGTCGACGCTCAACAAAAAACATTGGTTTACCATGTTTTATGTGCTTAAAAACTAATGGAATATTTTAATGATAAATGTTGCATATTCTGTGTCTTGATACTGTAAAGGTGCTTTGACACAATCTGTATTGTTAAAAGCGCTATATAAATAAAGGTGACTTGACTTGTTGGAATGTAAACATAGGCAATCAACTGTATACGGTACACACAAATATCAATATAACTTCATAAACCTCTATCTGACAGGCCCAACAGGAAGTTCCCAAATGGCTGGAGGAAATTGCTTTCAGTGCTCATGGAACAACAGGCTTCAACCCACGTGGAAAAGTGTTTGCGTCTACAGACACTCGGAAGGTATGGCTCATCACTTCTCATGTGGCTGCCTGAACCCCCGTTTTGAACTCGATTTGTAGTCATTTAATGCATGTCTTTTACATTTACATTTAGTCACTTAGCAGATGCTTTTATCCAAAGCAACTTACAAATGAGGACAATGGAAGCAAACTTTTTTTTTGTTTTTTTTAAGAATAGAATTAGAATAGAGAGTGCTAGAGTTAGAGGGTCAAATAAAGATGGAAGAGATGTGTTTTTAGCCGATTCTTGAAGATGGCTGAGTTGGGCAGGTCATTCCACCAGGAGGGAAACAGTTCATGTAAAATTAAACTTTTAATGGTTTTTGTTTTTAGGGAGGGTCCTTCAAGACGGATGAGCCGCCTCAAGCATCCGCCCCAAGCCCAGCAGCGGCTGCAGATGATGAGGAATGGGAGTAACTACTCTTAACACCTTACATTCTATTATGTAGATTTATTTTATTTTTATATTTGTGAGTTTATTCATTTCTCCAGCAGGCTTGTTAAAATGTTGATTGATTAAGGTAGCATTACGGTAAAGCTGTTGCATTTAAAAAAAAAAAAGTCACATTCTGAAAACTGTAGGTTTGATCTGAAGGACAGAGTATTAATCAAGACATGATACCTTTTTAGCGGTTTGGTTTGAATTAATGATCTGATTTTTGTGTCACTTGTTCTGATTGAAGAGCACAACTGGATTAGTGGATTTGTTTTGCATGATCACATTAACACTTTGCTAAGAGCGTATTGAGTTTTGTGAGCTTTTACCTGAAGGTCTTTCCTACAGTTGTACCATATCAATCAGTTCTGTTGTTAAATGTGACAGTTTGTAGGTTGTTTTTCTTGACATTTTTGTCTTAAAGCCTAAGTATACAAGTAAAGAAGCTTGTTTTGCTAATGTACCTTGCACCTTGCCAGATGAAGGTAAATAAAGCGATTGTTTACCAGACGACTTGGTTATAAAAATCGAATCTTGCTAAAAATTTCACATTCGAGACTAAGCTGTACCACAGAGCAGTGCTTCTCCACTTGTTAAAATGGCTAAAAATAAAGATGGAAGTTGACATTTGATTTCTCAAAAATGATGAGTTTGATTTTAAGCGTTGATTTCTAAACCTCGGTCTTTTTTCCTAAATATGTCAAGCTCTAAAATATTTAGTTGGGTGGAAATGAACTAGGAATAGCTGAAGAGTGGAGGGGAAAAAACACGCCACATCTCTTAATCATGAACGGCAAAAACAAATGAAAAGAAATGTATCATTTGAGTCATATATTGGTCTGTAAATAAGAAGCTTTGTCTTTACCAAAGAATCTTTGAGTATAGCTACACTTTTATTTTGTAAAGTTTGTTGTATTTTTAAATTTGAGCAATTCTATGGCGTTCGTAACTAAAACACAAAGCGATTGAGTGATATGCTTTTACTGAGTAGGAGGTTGCTGCTGTATCTCCTTTAATGACAATCTCTGTTTGGGGTTGTCACAGTCACAAATGTGGAATCTGTACATGTTCACTTCTGCATTTTAATGGAGCTGTGACAAAAATAAGATCTTGCACCGTAACCTTTAACCATAGCATCTGGTTAGAAGTGGCAAGTGTTAGTCTGGTCCGTTATGTATGCATAAATATAGACGTTTTCATTAATACTGCTATATATTCATACAGTTCAACTTCTCAGATTTGGGATGCTGATGGCAGTGCACTGCAATGAAGAGGCCAGAGTAATAGACCTGTTTGCAGGTGTTAGGATGCTCGCAGACAAAGATGAGCCATTCATTTAATTGATCTGATTGCTCACTGAAGTCCAGTCCTTTGTCATTGATGCAACTTACTTGCATCTCTCAAGGAAAAACACTCAAAAGCCTGCCACAAAACAATAACTCTGTAACTATAAAATAAGTTTGAGGCTACTAGTTTGAGTTTACAGCATATACATTTGTGCTCAATTATTCATACGCTTGGTAAATGTGATCAAAGAAGACAGAAAATAAATCTATCATTAATCCTTTTGATCTTTTATTTTTAAAAAATGTACAAAAATCTAACTTCATTGAAGAATGAGAATTTAAAATGGGGAGGAAATCTCATAATGAAATAAGTTTTTCTCTAATACACTGGCCACAATTAATCATACTCTTTTATTCAATACTTTTTGCAAAAATACTCCTTTTGCCAAGATAACAGCTCTGAGTCTTCACATACACCAGGTGCATCTAAAAAAATGTGAATATCATGGAAAGGTCTTTTTGTAATTTAATTAAAAAAAGCAAACTTTCTTATATTCTAGATTCATTGCACACACAAATATTTCAAGAGTTTTTTTTTGTGGTGTTGTTTGTTTTAATTCTGATAGTTATGGCTTACAGCTTAGGAAAATTTAAAATTCAGTTTCTCAAAAAATTAGAATATTCCATTCTGAGCTTGATTAGTTTGAGTATAAATACTGGGTACCTCCTGGGCTAGATTAGAGCCGTGTAAAAAATCTTTTTTTAATATTTTTAAATTGCTAAAATGTTCAAAAAAGCAGCTATTATATAATATCCATTTCTGATCTCTGATAATAATAGCTTTCTAGGATTAAACATTTGGATAATTGGTTAAAAAAAAAAAATAAAAAATCTCTTAATAACCCTACTGTGTTAGACCTACCTGAAAAACTAAAGAGCAATTTATTTCATTTGTAGGCCTTTTTTATTTGTGCTATCAGTCATTTCTTTATTTGTTCTTATTTTATTATTAACTGCTTAGCCTCCTTGTCATTTTTTATTCAATTCAAAGTTTTAAATCAAGCTATCTCGTGCTACTGCAACAAAATTACCCAACTGTAAAATCAAAAATACACTGAGTGAGCAAAACTTTGTTTAATTACCATTATAACTAGCTATCTCACAATGTTTACATATGAATAAAAGCCTACATTAAAATCTGTCATATAAATTGGTCTCTTCATTAGAAATTAGCCTACTGATTGCCACCATTGATAGACACATTTTTTTATAATATTAAAAATATCTGTATGACAGTATATTCTGCAGTTATTCCCTGTTGTACCGAATATCTATACTTTTCAAATTATCATATCGAAGTTAGAAATTCAAATATTGTGACACAATTAATTTCGTAGGGTGCCACAAATTTGTTAAAATTTCCAAAGGGTGCCGTGACTAAAGAAAGGTTGGGAAAACACTGGTTTAGAGCATGTAGCCACAACAACTGGACTGTTGCTCAGTGCTCCAAAGTCCTCTTTTCAGATGAAAGTAAATGTTGCATTTCATTTGGAAATCAAGGTCTGTAGGAAGACTGGAAAGGCACAGAATCCAAGCTGCTTGAAGTCCAGTGTGACGTTTCTGAAGTCAGTGATGATTTGGGGAGCCGTGACGTCTGCTGGGGTTGCTCCATTGTGTTTTATCAAGTCCAGAGTCAATCAGGAGAAGATTGTGGAGCACTTTATGCTTTCATCTGCTGACAAGCTTTATGGAGATGCTGATTTATTTTCCAGCAGGACTTTAGCACCTGCCCACAGTGCAAAACCACTTCCAAGTGCTTTGCTGACCATGATATTACTGTGCTTGATTGGCCAGCCAACATGCCTGACCTGAAGCCCATAGACTGGAGTATCTATGGGATATTTTCAAGAGAAAGATGAGAAACAATGGATCCAACAATCCAGACGAGCTGAAGGCTTCACTAATGCCTCAGCAGAGCCACAGGCTGACCGTCTCCATGCCACGCCGCACTGAAGCAGTAATTCATGCAAAAGGAGCCCCAACCAAGTATTGAGTGCAGAATGAAACCTACTTTGGAGATATTGAACATTTCTGTTTTGTCAATCTTTTTTTGATGGATCTTTGAGAAAATATAATTTTCTGAGATAATTTATTTTCCTAAGCTGCAAGTCGTAACCATCATTAAAAAAAAAACTTGAAATATTTCAGTTTGTGTGCAATGAATCTAGAATATAAAGTTTGCTTTTTTTTTATTAAATTACAAAAAATTAAGAACTTTTCCATGATAAGAGATGCACATGGATAATGCTTGATAAGTTTGGAGAACACCTGAAGAGGTCAGAGCATTCCTTCATCTAGAATCACTCCAGACCCTTCAGATTTCCAGCTGCATGCGGGTGCTTCTCTTCAGTTCACTCATTCTCTACAGGGTTCAGGTCAGAGGTCAGGGATGGCCAGGGCAGAAGCTTCATTTGGTGTTCAGTGTCTCACATTTGTTTTGATTTTGATGGTTGTTTTGGATCGTCATTCTGTTGGAAGATAGGTATTTAATATTTAAGGTAATATTTAAGGTAGGTATTTATTATATTTAAGGTAAGGTAATTTTAGTATTAAGGTATCCAGTATTAAGATCCAGGATCTGGCAGAAAAATCAGCCCACAGCATTAAACATACTGCAGTATATGTATATTAGGGGAAGTCGTGGCCTAATGGTTAGAGAGTCGGACTCGTAACCCAAAGGTTGCGGGTTTGAGTCTCGTACCGGCAGGGATTGTAGGTGGGGGGAGTGAATGTACAGCGCTCTCTTCCACCTTCAATACCACGACTGAGGTGCCCTTGAGCAAGGCACCGAACCCCCAACTGCTCCCCGGGCGCCGCAGCATAAATGGCTGCCCACTGCTCCGGGTGTGTGTTCACGGTGTGTGTGTGTGTTCACTGCTGTGTGTGTGCACTTTGGATGGGTTAAATGCAGAGCACTAATTCCGAGTATGGGTCACCATACTTGGCCACATGTCACGTCACGTCACGTCACCACTAAAAGTATATTTCATTGTACACACGTGCGAAACCCATCTTGAGTGTTTGCTGTTAAAAATCTCATTTTTTAGTTTCATCTGACCATAGAATCCAGTCCTGTTTGAAGTTCCAGTCATGTCTAGCAAATGAATATGCTGGAGGTGTTTCTTTGGTTGTTTAAAAAAAAAAAAAACTTATTTAAATTGTCCTTAGCCTTACAAGTTTGCTGAGCTCCCCTGGTTAAGAGCCTGTCTTCCGTTAAAATGAACTCTATAATCACAATGCAACAACACTAAAATACACTAAGATTAAAATGCGTACAATACACATTTTAATTCGATATAAAACGTTAGTTTTCTGTTTAATTAATTTTTCCCGCATTTGTTAATAAGGGTCTGTTCCCAGAATGTCTTCGCCCGCTCTGGAATTATGGGTAATGTAGTTGTTTGAAGGCGTCCTCGCGTTCCTCATGCGTTGTGTGGCGTGACATCTGCACTACTAATCCCATGCGACATTTGAAAAGCACGTGCCGTTTAAATACTGCGTTTCCTTTTCAAAACATTTGTTTGTCTCAGCAGATTGTCGGCTTTTGTCTGCTTTGGTAAGTGTATAATTCAAGTTTCCCGTTTATGAGCTTTCATCTAAATACTAAAGCGACACGAAATCTCAATGTGATGCTTATGGCTACCTGTGCAGATAAAAACAAATGTACTAACCACTTGTTTATGACCCAAATTGAGCTAATGTAAGGGCTTTTGAGTTGATTTAACAGTGTATTTAGTATTGATCGCTTGAAGTACGTGTTCTGGTTCTTTCGTTTATGTCGTTATAGTCTAAATGAATACTTTAAAACGATTCACAGTCTTGCATGATTTCACCTGTGTTTATGGCATCATGTGTATTGCATATAAACTGCAGATGTTCGTTTCGTCTAGAGAACAGAAATGTTATTATTGACGCATTGCATATGAAGGAGTGTTGTTCATAGCAGCTGCAGAGCTCATATAATGACACCTGACTTTCAGAAGTGCCTTCAAACAGCAGAGCTTCAGCTTATCTTGTCTTTTCAAACAGTGAATTGCTTATATACAGTGGGTACGGAAAGTATTCAGACCCCCTTAAATTTTTCACTCTTTGTTATATTGCAGCCATTTGCTAAAATCATTTAAGTTAATTTTTTTTCCTCATTAATGTACACACAGCACCCCATATTGACAGAAAAACACAGAATTGTTGACATTTTTGCAGATTTATTAAAAAAGAAAAACTGAAATATCACATGGTCCTAAGTATTCAGACCCTTTGCTCAGTATTTAGTAGAAGCACCCTTTTGATCTAATACAGCCATGAGTCTTTTTGGGAAAGATGCAACAAGTTTTTCACACCTGGATTTGGGGATCCTCTGCCATTCCTCCTTGCAGATCCTCTCCAGTTCTGTCAGGTTGGATGGTAAACGTTGGTAGACAGCCATTTTTAGGTCTCTCCAGAGATGCTCAATTGGGTTTAAGTCAGGGTACCCACTGTATATATTAATGCTCTGTTCACAAAACGCGTTTTGTTTGTTAAGAATCCAAACAACAGGAGAGGTTATCTACTTACATTAACTCATTTTCCCTCTTAATCAGGTTTAATCAAAGTGTTGATTAGATTTTCTGTTTCTGAATGGCTTTGCTTCTGCCTGCTGAAAATGTAGATGATGTTCATTGCAATGGTAATAATGAATTTGATATGCTGATTTTAACACATTTATTTAAAATCTATTCAGTTTAGGGCTGCAAAACGATTAATTGCGATTAATCGCATTCAAAATAAAAGTTTGTTTACATACTATGTGTGAACTGTGTATATTTATAATGTTTATATATAAATACACACACACACACACATATATATATATATATATATATATATATATATATATATATATATATATATATATATATATATATATATATATATATATATATATATATATATATATATATATATATATATATATATATATATATGTGTGTGTGTGTGTGTATTTATATATACATAATAAATATACACAGTACACACACATATATATATATATAGTATGTAAACAAAAACTTTTATTTTGAATGCAATTAATTGCAATTAATCGTTTTGTACATCTATCTTTGTGAGGGCATTCATTGTCCTCAATGCAATCTCTGTGTGTGTGCATGTATGTTTAATAATTTATTTTCCATAATCCATAACACAGATCAATAAATAAATAATGCATGTATCAGTTGTTGATCAATTAATTGCAATTAATCGTTTTGTACATCTATCTTTGTGAGGGCATTCATTGTCCTCAATGTAATCTCTGTGTGTGTGCATGTATGTTTAATAATTTATTTTCCATAATCCATAACACAGATCAATAAATAAATAATGCATGTATCAGTTGTTGATCTGTTGGTTTGTGACGCTTTAGTCTGTGTGTGACATGTCTCATCATGTCTTATCCATCTGCAGGGTTTAAAGTGTTACTACAAATACATATTTTTTTTCCACAGGAAAAATGTGCATATAAGTTTGATCATCCCTGTCAAAAAAGTTGTTTTGCTGTTTGTGTGTTGATATCATCTTTCTCGCTGAACAGTCTCAGATCTGGTTTGGTATTCTTCTGTGTTTGTCCATCTTTACAGGTGATGAGGGTTTATCATGGATGAGGACAGTAAACCGTTACTAGGATCAGTGCGAGCTGGGGAGTATTACACCGATTCATTGGACCCCAAGCAAAGAAGGTACTGTTTTTCTGCTGACTTTAGTTTAGCATCTTATTACCAATATTTTGGGTGAAATTTCAGAAATAGTCAGGAATGGTAAAGACGCATGGAATGTTTTCATCTTTTGAAGTGTTTCAGCTATGCATTTTTTTGAGGGCAAAACATAAATTGATTAAATATACTCAACAAATATTTATTGTATGAAGTGTGCAGCAAAACCAACATTTTCTGAACCCACCTCATGACGGGAGCTGGGACAATGTTTCTAGCTGTCTGAGCCCAGACATCAAGGCTTTCTCCCCTAACATTTGCTCGGACAGCTGCTTGTCAACTGGTTTCCTTCCAGGACTAATTAGGGTCACTGGCCAGATTGAATTAACGCAGTCTGGTATTTCACAAATACTGTTTAAGATGTAGTGCTATGTGAAATGTGCTTCAAAACAAAAACCTCCTAGTGCTGTTCAGAAGCATATGTGACCCTGGAGCACAAAAGCAGTGTTCAGTCGCTGGGGTATATTTGTAGCAATAGCCAACAATACATTGTATGGGTCAAAATTACCGATTTTTCTTTTATGCCAAAAATCATTAGGATATTAAGTAAAGATCATGTTCCATGAAGATATTTTGTTAATTTCCTACCGTAAATATATCAAAACTTAATTTGATTAGTAATATGCATTGCTAAGAACTTCATTTGGACAACTTTAAAGATGATTTTCTCAATATTTAGATTTTTTTTGCATCCTCAGATTCCAGATTTACATTCAAATATTGCTCTATCCTACCAAACCATACATCAATGGAAAGCTCATTTATTCAGCTTTCAGATGATACATAAATCTCAATTTTAAAAAAATTGACCCTTATGACTGGTTTTGTGGTCCAGGGTCACATATTACCTCCATGTGCACAATATTAGAAAGTGCAGTAATGCAGATGTGTCCAGTCCTGTTTCTGGAGATCTAGCTCTTTGCATGAGGTGAAGTGTTCCTGAAGATCTTAATTAGCTGTTTCAGGTGTGGGGCATATATACAGTAATAGTTCTTGTTTGCTTTGTCTTTCAGGCCGTTTCATGTGGAGCCCAGAAACATAGTGGGAGATGCTCAGGAGCAGGTGTCCGCTGAAGCTGCGGCTCTGAGCAGCAGAGTTCATTACTACGGCCGTCTGACAGCCTCTTCAGACCGACTGCTGGTGTGCCCGCTCTCTTCATTACATTACACTACAAACTCCACTAAAAGTTTTAAATCTCTGTCTGGACGAACAAACATTAAAATATCTATAGGTGGTTTAGTAGGCTTCTTGTGATTATTTGCGATAACTACAATCAGCGTGCATGTCAAATTCAAATCGTGTATTTTCCGAAAAATCAGAGAATTCTAAGTGAATATACAAATGCCGTAAAATGCACATTTGTTTTATTCCAGTGTTTGAGAATGCGTAGGGTTTTCACTTTTTATAATTTGCACAATGGCAAATATTTTTGACCATTACATGTTACACGTTATCAAGTTAATGCCACAGAGATAAGCTATTAATATTTAATATGGTTTATACAGATGTTAAAGTGCGATCACATTAGCTAAATTTTATGGCAGAAACTTTGTGGGGAAAAATAAAGCAATAAGCCACAAGAAGCCATGGTTTACAGTGAATTTTATAACATCCCCCTTAGCTGTTATAAATTCACTGTAAACCATGACTTCACGGGGCTTATTGCTTTTATAAAACGGTTATTCCGTATGCGTAGTAAAGTTTCACAAAATAAAACAGAGCAAATAAAGTGTAAAGATATTAATAAAAACAGTATTCTTCCACCAAACAATGTAGTTCCTCAGAATCAGTTGTGGTTCCAACAAAGTGATTGCCGGGCAGCACACAGAAGTAAACAAAGGTGTATGTTTGTAGAGTAATATACAACAGCTTCGAACGCGGCTCAGCCAATCAGAATCAAGGACCGGAACTATCGGTTTTATAATGATACATTGTTTTTTTCTTCTTCTAAGTAACAAGTAAAACTGTGATGAATTACAGCTTACACTTTCAGACCAAGCAGCTTTCTGTTGGTCAACACAGCAAATCCATGCAACCAACTTGAACCCATTGAGAAGTCTGCTTGGTGAAACCCCCCCCCCCCCCCAAAATTCACAGATGCATGAATTCCTATTGAAAAAATGAGCAGAGCAACAGTAAATGTGGCCGCACATTTAGAATGGAAAATATATTACTTTTGTCAAAGACTCAACACTAACTCAATGGTCTTCCTTTGTGTGAAGTTAAGGCTTTTTGTTTTAGTCCGACCTTAAAATGACACATGAAAATGAAGAATTGTGAATCATATTCAAAATGATTCATTCATTCATAACATTCGTTCTACACCTTTCCAATGTAGGTTTACGAAGCCTTAAAGCAATAGTTCACCCCAAAATTTACTCACACTTGTCTTTCAAAGCTTGTAGAAATGTCCTTTTTCTGTGAAACAAAATACAGCTTTGGAATGACATGAGAGTGAACAAACTTACACTGTGACTTAAACTGAACATATTTATATTCCAATTAGTCTCAAGCCAAAATCTCATGATTGTGAGATCATTCTGCTCTTTGAGGGCGTTTTGTGGGTGAAACCTCTTCATGCTGTCTTATTTCACAGATATTTGTGAGCGGTCTGTTGTTTTGTGTCTGTGTATAATTGAATTAGCCCGTGGCTCTGATTTCCTTTTTTTTGTTTTGCCTGGTTTGATTTGTGGAGGATGCATCTCTAAATACAAATTAACACAGTATTCAACCACAAGTTCTGCTTCCACCAGTATTTCAGGACAATGCATCATTTGTTTGATAGTTGCAATCTTGTCCTGTATAACATGAAAGGCACTGTGATGTAATGCATTTGTTTGTGTGCCTTATCTTCATCAGGTACCTCCAGATCATGTGATTCCTTCTCCTGAGGACATCTATGTCTACAGTCCACTGGGAACAGCGTTCAAAGTGCAGGGGGGCGACAGTACAGCCAAAAACCCCAGCATTGTCACAGTGTAAGACCACCCTCGAAAAGGCTTTTAATGTATTGCTTTATGAAGACCTCTGCCTCAGAGCAAGTTTAAGCCTGTGAATTACAGTGCTATAGAGTGTGAAAAGATACAGTGCTAGAATGTTAAGGCAATTAACAGTTAATCAGAAAACCAAACAATAATTGCCTTAAACAGCACAGCTACTTGCAAGCATGTTAAATGGAGAGAGCGTTATTTTTTTCAATTAGTTTTAGTGGAGTTAAGACAGGCAGAGCAGATTTACATGGTCATATTTCCAGAAATGTACAAGCAGTTGTTGAAACACCTTTTTATTTAAGTGTGTGTGCGCGCGTGCGTGTGCGCGTGTATATGTGTGCGTGTGTGTGTGTGTGTGTGTGTGTGTGTG